ACATACAAGTAAAATTTTGCTGAAGATAATTCAAAAATGGTTGCAGCAGTACATCAACAGGGAACTGCCAGAAATTCAAGCCAGATTCAGAAGAGGATGTGGAATGAGGGATATCATTGCTGATATCAGATGGATCTTGGCTAAAAGCAGAGAATACCAAAAAGATGTTTACCTCTGTCTTATTCACCATGCAAAAGCATTCGACTGTGTGGATCATAACAAATTATGGATAACTTTGCAAAGAATGGGAATTCCAGAACACTGAATTGTGCTCATGCTGAACCTGAATATAGACCAAGAAGCAGTCGTTCGAACAGAACAAGGGGATACTTTGTGGTTTAAAATCAGGAAAGGTATGTGTGTCAGAGTTGTATCCTTTCACCATACCTAATAAATCTCTATGCAGAGCAAATAATACAAGAAGTTGAACTATATGAAGAATGGGGCATCAGGATTGAAGAAAGTCTCATTGACAACCTGTGATATGAAGATGACCCAACCTTGCTTGCAGAAAGTGAAAAGGACTTGAAGCGCTTATTGATAAAGATCAAAGATCACAGCCTTTAGTATGGATTACACCTCAACATAAAGAAAACAAAAATCCTCACAACCTGACCAATAAGCAACTTCATGATAAACGGAGAAAATACTGAAATTGTCTAGGATTTCATTATACTTGGATCCACAATCAATGCCCATGAAGAAGCAGTCAAGAAATCAAATGACATATTGCATTAGGCAAATCTGCTGTAAAAGATCTCTTTAAAGTGTTACAAAGCAAAGATGTCACTTTCAGGACTAAGGTGGGCCTGACCCAAGACATAGTATTTTCAATCGCCTCATATGCATGGGAAAGCTGAACAGCGAATAAGGAAGACTGAAGAATTGATGCCTTTGAATTATGGTGTTGGTGACAAATATTGAATATACCATGGACTGCCAGAAGAACAAACAAATTTGTCTTGGAAGAAATACAGCCAGAATGCTTCTTAGAATTGAGGATGACGAGACTTCATCTCGCATACTTTGGACATGTTATCAGGAGGGACCAGACCCTGGAGAAGGACATCAAGCTTAGTAAAGCAAAGGGTCAGTGAAAAAGACGAAGACCCTCAACAACATGGACTGACACAGTGGCTGCAACAATGGGCTCAAACTTAGCAGTGATTGTGGGTATGGCGCAGGATCGGGCAGTATTTCATTTTGCTGTGCATAAGGTCGCTATGAGTCAGAACCAACTAGCTGGCACCTATTAACAACAAGAGAGGACAGGGAATGCTTGGGCTGGGGTAAGTGTTGTTGCACCTATAAAGGCGACAGTAAAAGCCTCAGTGCAAAGATGACATTTGAGCAAAGACTTGGAGCAGGTTAGGGAATGCAGGTATATAGGGGGAGAACATTCTAGACAGAAAACACAGTGAGTGCCGAGGCAGTGAGCAGGTCTGGAGCGTTTGAGGAATAGCAAAGAATGTCAGTGTGGCTACAGAGTGGTAAACCTGGGGGAGATTAGCTGGGCATGAGTCATAAGTGAGAGGGGTAAGGAAGTAGGGAAAATCATACATCATTGTAGGACTTTGGTTTTTAGTCTGAGTAAGCTGGCAAGCCATTCAGCAAACAAGTGCCACAATCTGATGTTACTTTTTGTCAGGCTCTCTCTGACTGCTGTGAGGGACAAGAGCAGAAATAAGACACCAATCAGGAGGCCACTATGGTTCTGTTGACAAGTGGGGATGATAGGTTGGACCGGTGCGGTTAGAGAGAGGGTAGCAAGAGGAGGTTGGATTATGGATAGCTGTTGGAGGTGGGGGCAACAGGATAGATTGGCTAAGAAGAGAAAGAAAGACATCAAGGCTTTTGGACTCAGCAGTTGCCAGCTGCCATTCAATGAGAGGAAGAAGGCTGCAGTGAAGCGAGTTTGAGGGGGAGGAGCAGCAGTTCAGTGTTAGGAAATGGCAGACATGAGGTGCCAATTTTACTTCCAAGTAAAGGTATCAAGGAAGCAATAAGATCCCCAAATCTTGATTTCAAGGGAGATTTGAACTGGAGTTGTAAAAGTTGGAGTCATCAGTGGAAGGATGGCATGAAGAAATGGCATCAGGAGACACCTCCACAGGACTGACTGGAGAGTGATGCCCAGGGCTTCGTCTGGCAACTTGGGAATGTTTGGAAGGAGACTACAAAGGGCAGCCAATGACACAGCAGAAAACCACTCACATGTGGTGTCCTGAATACTTACCTTGCTTGTTAGTCTAAGGTTCAAAGGAAAAGCTTGTGGATGCTTTTGTAAACTTTAAACTGTTGTATAAATGCTGGTTTACTACTCCTGGGACCAGCCGCACTTTGCTCCAGCCACCTTGAGATGTTTCTTCCCTGCTCTTCTCAGATAAAGAAATGATTCTCTTGCATCTTAGTTAAGATCATTCCCAACTTAGAATCAGAGGACACCTTTAAGGAGCTCTGCCTTCTTCTTCACTTGCTCTCTGCTAGACAGCGCCTTCCAAGAATCCTCATGGACACCTCTAAGCAAAGGAAAGGGAAGATGAGGCAAACTGGCATTGAATTACCAGGTAACGCCACTGAAGACTGATATTTATGCCCTCATTCAATCCTTACAACAATTTACATGAGGCAGGATTCATTTTTCCTGCTGTAGAGATGTGAATCTGATGCTCAAAGATGTAAGTCTCTTGACCAAGTTAGTACAGTGACCCCAAGATTTGTAGGATTCTTCCCACGATTCACCTCCTTCCTCCCCTAAAGCTATCTCATTTCGTTTAAAGACTGGACAAAAAATATTTTGATCTATAAACATGGAAAAGAAAGTTGCTATAATGATACAAAAATAACTGGACAAAATTTCTCTGTACTTCAAAGATTGGAAAGCCAATTCACAAACCTTAATCTTTCCTGCACATGCACACCCCATTGCGTTACCAAGACTAGTGCCACCCAGCTAGACAATTTGACCTTAGGGTAAATGAAACATTTAAATAGAATGGAAGGAAAATGCTTTCTACTAATACGAGAAAGGCAAAATTTTCTTCTGACATCCTAATCGGTCCTCAGAATAATTTCAGTTCTCTGCTGGGAACGGAGTATAGACAAGAGTATCAAGGCTGGCATAGGAAAGTGTCAGATGGTGAGATTTTGTGACAAGGACAAGAGAGGAAGAGGATGGATCCAAAGGGGCCAGAGAAGGAATCATCATGGTTTGAAAAAGTAATCTGAAGACAGAGGGGCATAGAAAGCTGATCACAATTTGTATCCTAGCCCAACCACTTAGTGACTATCTACTTCAGAATATCAAAGACTTTTTCAGGGCTTAGTATCTGGTAGGGTTCCATCTAAGTATGCTTAACATTTATTTACCGCTGAGACTTCACACATTTCTATGAGGAAGGTGTTATTATTATTCCCATTTTACAGGAAAGAAAACTGAAGTATGGAGAAGCCTGGTAACTTGCCAAGTCACTAAACCCAAATAATTTGGCTCCAGAGTCTGCCCACTTACCCACGCTCTCAGCCTTTCATCAGCCCCAAGCAATGAAAGTGGCTCTTTCTTAGCATCAGTGTCCTCTAGCAAAATCAGGACAGCAATGCCAGCCCGCTGCATTGTTTGTTGGTAGGTGCCATGTCGTCGAGTCGGTTCCAATTTGTGGAGACCCTGCGCATAACAGAACAAAACGTTGCCTGGTCTTGCACCATCCTCGTAATTATTGCTATGTTTGAGGCCATTATTTCCACCACTGTGTCAGTCCATCTAGCTGAGGGTCTTTCTCCTTTCTGCTGACCCTCTACTTTATCAAGCATGATGTCCTTCTCCAGGGACTGATCCCTCCTGATACCATGTCCAAAGTAAGCGAGACAAAGTCTCGTCATCCTTGCTTCTAAGGAGCAATCTGGCTGTACTTCTAAGACAGATTTATTCATTATTTTGGCAGTCCAGAGTATATTCAATATCTTTGCCAACACCATAATTCAAAGGCATCAGCTCTTCTTCAGTCTTCCTTTTTCATTGTCCAGCTTTCACATGTACATGAGGTGATTGAAAATACCATGGCTTGGGTCAGGCGCATCTTAATCATCAGAGTGACAGCTTTGCTTTTTAAGATTTTAAAGAGGCCTTTTGCAGCAGATTTGCTCAGTGCAATACATTGTTTGATTTCTTGACTGCTGCTTCCATGGGTGTTGATTGTTTTTGTTTGCCCAATGCAATGTGTCCTTTGATTTCTTGACTGCTGCTTCCATGGGCTGCACGGTTAGCCTGGAGGCATCCCTCCCAGAGATGGGCTCAGTAAGGGGTGATGGTTATATTACTAGTAATCTTTAGTTAATTTTTTCTTCGGGGAGAGATCTTTTTAAGAGTCCTCCACCTGGATGTGGAGAAGAAAAGTATTTCCTTAGACCTCCTTTTATGTCCTTATCTCTGCTCAGGATCACAGCAGGCCTCTCTCCTTAAGTCCATAAAGTCTTTCCCCAGCTCTGGCAACTGGGGCTTACTTATGGCTTCTTCCTCCGTGTTCCATAAGCTTTGCATCTGAATTTGTCACAACCCAAATTCAAATATTTAGTTGTCTATCTACTTTATTAGATTGTGAGCCCCTAAGAGTCAAGACCATATTGTATGCTTCTTTGTGACTATCGGTATCTCCAATATCACCTGCAAAGTAGGCATCAATAAATGCAAGCCTGCTGAATAAATGAATGAGTACATGTCACTAGAAGTTTTCACGCCTCCAGGAGTAATATTGCAATCCCTTTCCTATACAGTAGAATTTATTGGAGGATGACACAGGACACTCTGCTTTTCCTTATTCTGGTCTGTTTAGGTCAGATTAATATTTACTTTTCCTCTACTCATCCAAAACATTTTCTAAAACGTTTCATTGGAAAGCTTTTTATTACAGGTATCTTCTCCAAATCACTATACTTGAACCAGTTGGTTTTTCAAGCTCTTCTAACCAAAAGATATTGATAAAAATTCACTGTTTTTAAGAACCTAGGTGAATTTTTCTTACAAATACTAAAGGGATAAAGTGAAAGAATTATCATGAGGCAGGAAGAATTTGGTTGTTAGTGGCAGCATGTCCTTATATTAGAAATTTAGAGGCAGAGATCTGAATGGTCAGTAGTGCGGTTGAATTTCTGCGGATTTCAAAAGCAGGAGCAACGGAGACTCCAGAGAACTCGTAAACCTACTGCTGCCGAGTCAATTCCGACTCATAGTGACCCTATAGGACAGAGTAGAACTGCCCCATAAGGTTTCCAAGGAGCAGCTGATGGATTCGAACTGGCAACCTTTTGGTGAGCAGCCGAATGCTTAACCACATTCAGCCCCTGAGGTAGCTCCTTCAGGGCTGACCTGGCATTTCCTACCCAGGCACTGCCCAGCCTGGCAAGTTCTAGGCGCTGGTGGGCTCCTCGCCCCTCCCCAGGATCCTATTCCTTTACTTCTGACAGTACGTGGGAGTCTGTGCTTAGAAGAGCCAAATCCAAGGAATGAGCCTCAGGGAAAAGGGTAGGAAACCTTGCCACTTGCCAGCAACCTTTTGTTTTCAAGAACAGTAGAAGCAGAAGCTGGAGATCCTGAAAACTGGGAAAAAGAAACTCAAGAGTCTTCGTTGCGAAAGTTTCATCCAAGACTTGGGACTTTCTCCTCCTGTTCATGCTCCTTTTCAGATAAAACTACATGAGTTCTGTATTAGTTCAACACTGTAGAAAGATAATAGACTTATTTTTTCCACAGAAACTTTTTCCTGTTATTTTCAAAAGTTTTTGTTGTTTCCCAGTCACTGGGAAGAAAATGCTAATTCATGGCTGTTTAAGAGATTAAAACAAGTGAAGAGAAATACAAGTAACAACAACTGCTTGCATACATTCTCTCATTTAATTTCACCTAATTCTATCCACATCACTGTGAAGTAGATATGCTATGCAAATGGGAAACTGAAGCTCAGAAAGGTTAAGTAACTTGCCGAAACTCTCACAGCTAGTAAGAAACAAAACTGTTAGCCATATCATAACACCACAATCATCCTTTCAGTCTGTAAAACTCTCCATTCAAACCCCTTCGAGTCCCTGTTGGAGCAAAAGTGCTAATAGCTGACTCCCCACTATAGTAAGCTAATTTATTTTACTGAGTAAGTAGTCTTTGATTAATTCTCTAAGTGGTCTTTATTCTTTTGACAACTTAATCTCAAAAGAAGATAAATTGGCACTTTAATAATTATTGTCTGACTAAACTGTTATACTTTTTTAAACACTCAAACATTATGAAAACAGTAAATCATATATATTTTTATATTCCTAAAGGTACTGTCTTTAGACCTGCAGTGAAAGAGGAATTATCACATACATTTCAATTTCTCCAGATATGTTTTCCCCCTAATGTGCTTTTATTGTCTTGAACGGCTTCAACAAGGGGTTTAGTGGCCTCTCTGGTCCCATGGTGTCTATACACAGATCTCAAGTTAACAGCTGTGGTTCTTTCTTCCCCTCCTGGAACCTGACTCATCAAAGCTCATTCCCCATCTCAATGAGACACTAGAGGTTAGCAGGGTTAATAAGAAATACGAGTCCCCCTACTTTTCAGGTTTATGGCAAGAGCTTCCATATATTATCTACTTAATCCACAAAAAAAAAAAAAAAAAAAATCCCACAAGATAGTTTAGATTGCTACCTCCAATTTATAGATGGGGAAACCAAAGCTCAGAGAGGTTAAGGATCTTGGTCAAAATAACACAGCCTAAACTCGGGGCTCTTAGCCACGTGCTCCTCTGCCTCCCATAGGATATGCCTTGGCCAGATGACTACGTTGAGTCTTTGATTCTTACTCACTTGGAGGCCAAAGCATACCCTTAAAGAAACATGACTTGGGGCTAAAGGTACTGTGTGTATCCCAGAACTACAGGTGTCACGTGACCCCTGTAATACAACATTTTTAAGCCTCCCTTTGAGCCATGTGGAAACCCTGGTGGCATAGTGGTTAAGAGCTATAGCTGCTAACCAAAAGGTTGGCAATTTGAATCCACCAGGCGCTCCTTGGAAGCTCTATGGGGCAGTTCTATTCTTTCGTATAGGGTTGCTATGAGTCGGAATCCACTTGACAGGAATGGGTTTGGTTTTTGGGTTTTGAGCCATACACCTTATGTTTATTGCCTTGTTCAATCCAGACAAGGACTCCTTAGGATTAAGCAACATTTACTGTATTCCACTTCACAGATAAGGAAGATGAAGCTCAGAGAGGTTTGAACACTTGTCCAAGGTCACACAGTTAAGGGCAGGACTAGGAATTAAACCAGTGAACCTTGTACTAGTCTCGCCCCTCCCGCCCCGGGTTTTTAGCAGTGAGTTAATTGGCTCAGGCTTATCACAGTAGAATTTCTTTCAAGAAAAATTGAGTAGTAGGGGTGGCTTATGTGACCCAGGAAGAATTTGGCTAGATGCTGTTTCTGGTTCTTCGCAGCTAAAGGAGACTTGCTTCCAGGGATAGAACAAGGCAAGGAGTTATTGGGCCCACCACAAGCAGTGTCCTCAGCCAGGCCAGAGCCCTCCCTGGCAGCCACCATTCCCAGCCAAACTCAATGCCTTGAGCTCCCTGTACTCGGCCAAGTAGCATTTCCTGCCTGTTACCTTTGCTGTAGTCCCTGGATGGCACAAAAGTTTAAGCACATGACTACTAGCCAAAAGGTTGTCAGGCTAAACCCATCCAGAGATGCCTTGGAAAACAGGACTAGAAAAATGCTTCCTGAAGGTCACAGCCTTGAAAACTCTACGGAGCACAGTTCTACTTTGCACACGTCAGACAGAATCCACTTGATGGTAACTAACACCACCACCTTCGCTCTACTGTTCTCTCCACCTGGAATGCACATCCTGTCCCCCTCCAAGGCCCTACTTGGAAGCTTTCCCCACAGGGCCTCTCCTGCCTCTCCCCACCAGAAATCATTCTGCCCTCCTGTGAGCTACCTGGAGCACGTTGTGCGCCATCCTGATGCTCTCCCGCAAGTCTTCAGGGGCAAGGGCCCCATCTCAATCATATTACTCCTCCACAACTCCCCTCCCCTATCCCTGGCTGGCGCCCAGGATAAATGTGTTGAGTTCACGATTCTTCCTCTCCTGCTCAAGGGAAACACACTTGCCCAGATCATGGACCCTACAAGGGTGGGGCCTGGCTAATCAGAATAAGGCCTTCCTTTTGAAGTAAGAACAGGTGCCCTTTTCAGAGGAGGCATTCCTGTCCTAAGTGAGGAGACAGCATCTTACAGGTGTATGTCAGGGCTCAGCCAGGAAGATGTCGGAGGAGGTACACAGAGGCCTCAGGTGGGTCTGCAGGATTTCCTCTGTGTCACCTCCTCCCCAACCGCCCATTCACACCTGCGTGTGCAGACAGGCCAAGGTGCAAGGCAGGATCCTAATTTCTGCCTTGAGCAGGTGGGAGGGAAGACAGACAAGAAGTATTCCATTGGTTGTCTGGAAAAATGAATTGCACCTTCCCCTCACTTGCGGAGGAGTAACTTTTCCCACCCTCGTCAGGTCCGCGGTCCTATCCTGGGGTTGGAGCCGGGACCTGGGCGCGAAGACGCCCCAATTCGAGGGAAGTGGAGCGGGGCGGATAGTTAACGCTGCCTGAAACTGGAGAAAGTTCTCTAAGGTGTCCCAAGCTCCTCAAGTCCCCGGAGCTGGACGAGTCTGCGGGTGCCCAG